CGGTGGGAGGAAAGGCGTGTCATTCCCACAGCTGCGGAAAAGTTCAGCTCGCACATGGCACGGGTCAGCATAAACGGAGTTGAAAGTACAGTGTAGTGGTTCTGGGGCAGCACACACGTTACTCTTTTTAGGTAGGCTGTGAGAGCACTACACAAATAGCAGGCACATTTGGCACAATAGGTGAACAGCAATGGTAGTTCAGCACTTGATACACATCCCAGCCCGTCCATCTTGAGAGGCAAAAGTTGTCTTCTCTCACATGCATCTCTTCAGCTCCACTGATATAATGGCCAGTGACAGGATAAACCCACAATGCGTACTGGGTCAATACCCTTAGCAGGGACGAACATTATGCTCTCTGGGTGCTTTTTCCAACAAAGGGCACCGTTACAGCGCCCCACCAAGGTGCAACATAAGCACCCAAATGGCCACCGCACCCGCCCGCCCACAAATGGTCGAACAGTCACAACGCCGATGCTATGATCACTCCATTATGCAGTAAATTGATGTGAAGTGTTGCTACACTGATATATGGATACATACGTGCAGCCGTATCTATCAAGGTGTTGTTGGCACGATGCTAACGGGAAACTCGTCCAAAGATGCTCGCCCAGTAGAACAAAGGCTTTTTTGCAGGTTTAAGCCGTGTAATTTCGTTTTTTCGTAATTTTCCCAATACATAGCATCCCTGCTACTTTTTTGAGCTAATAAACAAATTATCGTGCTTTGTGCCTTTAAAGAACTCACTTATGTCACATGTGTTACCGCTTGACATTACTCCAACAATAGTGTTCTTTCGGCCTTCGCTTTCAAATAGTGGACCTCCGCTGTCGCCCTAAACCTTATGAACATTCATGCAACATTTTGATGAATGTACCGTAGATTTCGCTGTATACGCTGGGGCGTGTCAGTGAGCTGGGTGTGGCGCGGCGCCACCATCAATCGTTGAAGCGAGCAAGCGACAACAAATGGTGGAAAACGGGCTCACACCGCGCCAAACTCAGCTCCCTCACATGCCTCAACGTCTACAGCGAAAACAACTATGGTCACTACTCAATTCAGAAGACCTACATTGCATACTCCTACACCATAAGCAGCTGTAGTATGGATGCTGGGCCTGCCTGCTTCTATCTCTTTTAAGGTGACGTTCACCACTTGAAAGCCATCATTCGAAGAATCTTCATCGGCTAGAAACTTGGCGGTGATTATTAATTAAGAAAAAGCGACATTTTGTTAACGTACGACTAATCAATCCGTTTCCTGCTGATTGAAGTATAGTGGCGACCTTCGTGGAACTGTTTGGCGTGCAAACCGGCGTAGCCAACGTTTCAGGTACTGGAGTTTCCAACTCCAATATTGACAGGTCGTTAGTAAGAGAGCAC